TGGATGAACATCCCAGTTCTGTAAGAAGTATCGATATACCAACAGAAACCAGACCCCATGTGAGCTGTTGGAATAGAACAAATGCTGATGTGGTCATTTTTACATTTCATTTTGCACTGGAGTTATTGTTGTTGTTTTTTCTTGGGCTTCGTGACAGGTCCAGTGAGACTCTAACTGTTTGAAAGACGTGAAACTTTTTATTTTGAAGGGAATCAATGAAGAGGGAGAAAAAAGGTTTGACCTCAAAATAACTGCCACATTTGTCTGGACTCTGGCAGGCTCCTACAGTAAATTAGCAGATATTAGATCGATTGTACAATTTGGAAACCACATAAAATGCTCCCCGACTCTTAAGCACAGTGTTAAACTTGAGTTTGGTAAGGTTTCATCATTGCTTAAGTTCATAGTGATGACTTCTATCTTGGCCTGATTTTATTTAAAGCAGTGACCGAGAATGACAACTGTACCACAGCCTGTCTTTGAGCGGTGACAGTCCATCTGTTATTATCGCACATCTGTTCCAGAGGTTGTGATCTGAGGTTTTGTTTAGTCTATTGTGTCAATATGTACACTGAACTGTTTAGGAGTAAACAAATGTGTTCACAGTAAACCCAAATAGAGTCAGAAAACACTATAAATGCAATGTATTAATTACCTGCTAGCTTGATAATCAAACAGGAAGACAGGATACCTGAGACAAGGACAGCACTAAAGCTAAGCATCTTATAAAGCATGTTTAACACTTCATTTGTAATATTTCAGATTGTCCCTTCTCATCTTTCATCTGTGGGAAAGCTTAGTCACAATAGATGAGAATAGTTCCTTAAACCAGCCTTAAGATGCGTATCTTGGTAATCCTTAGACGGGCCGATCTATTATGTTGATCTATCCCCAGAGCTTCTTTTGAATTCATTGGTCCCATAATGCCCATTTGCCATTTTTGTTAATATGTTGGGTCACCTGTCTCACAGCTGTCCATGTTGACTAGATCTGCCTTTTCATCGTTGAGAGCTACCTGCCATAATGACCCCGTAATAAAGTGTCATTATCCATCCACCCAGTCTAGTGTACCATGCACAAAGCCACTGCAGGAATCCATGCCCCGTCAAGTCATGTCTGTTGGGTATAAATGTCAGCGTCCTTTTGTTAGTATTACAGACATTCCCACATTATGGCTGGACTGATTGTTCTATATTGGAACGATGGGAGTGGAATAGAGCGTTTGATTTCAGATAATGTAAAACAAGACAAACGCCAACGGACCGGATGGGCCTTTTTGTCTAAACTTGGCTGCAGACTTGAATCTGAGACTATAACTGTGTCAGTGGGAGCTTGAAGACATGAGGATGACAGTGGTGTGGATTACACAGTCCGCTATTACAATTTGTCAGGTTTTATGATGTCAGTGACGGCTGGAATTTATCCCTTTAACCTTTTATACTCCAACTCCTTGTGCTATCTGAAACCATATATGGTCCTGATTTGTCACTTTGTACATCAGTCCTTGGGGGGTTATGTTAAAATGTGTGAATAGATTAAGATTGCATCACAAACTCAGTCACAGTACAAATTGTTGTCTTTGTTTTTGACTGCAGGGACTCTTTTCTTCAGCCTCTAGAATCCAATTTATGATTTCAAACATTAGGTTGTTTTACAAACAGATAAGTTGTGGTTATCTTTTGTAATATGTCCTTTAGTGTATAAACTTGTCTTTATAAACATCTGTATGGAAGGTTGTAAATCAAAAATGCACCTGCCAGTGACGTTGCTCACAAACATCACAAACCCTTGTAACGTACTGTATGTAGTTTGTAAAGATCGTTGCTTTTCAGAACATGTTTAATAACTTGTTCAGTAATAGGTATATTGATTGCTAATGTCATCATGATTTAGTAGAGAAGCAGTCATGTGGCAGCTTCAACAATTCAAGGGCCCCTTTGTCCATTCATCAGCACCCCTGATTGGGCCCATGTCATGGTTAGCTGCAGGCCCGGCAGATAAAGATCAGTGGATGATTGGGCACACACATTCTTAACATGGCTGACCCGTGACATCTCAGGGGCATGCAGGGAGCCTGTCATTATATGTACAATGTACCGCTTTCTCCCCTCTTATCTTTGAGATGACATTGAGAGTTTTTGCATTAACTCATTAACGAAAAGACTCATCATTAAAGTCATCACGGAGGCATGGTGCAGCGGTGGTGACACTGCACCGCCGCTGCATGCAGGAATGTGTCCGAGGCTCCCCAGTAACACGCTGACAGCAGGAGACCTTGGCAGGGCTTTGTGGAAGACGTGAACCTGTGGAGACATGTTCCCGTTTTGTATACTGGCTTCACATGAAAGTATGTAACATGATAAATTAGTTCTCGGGACCGCTCACTTATGGCTTATATATGGCAACCTTGATGATGATTTTAGAAATGTAACAGATGTATCGATGTTTTATACATCATTCATCAATGCTTAGAACAAGGCATTAATGAGAGCATGTTTAGTTTGACAGATTGTGAAAAATCTCTCTGGTTGAGGAGGATAAACACCTCCTCCAGCATGACACTTTGCCCTTTTAGTGAGCTTTTAATTTATCAGGGAGACCCCTCCAATGGACTGTCAGACCCCTCACCTTCTGGTAAAGAAAGAAAATCTATTTATTATCAACTTAGTTACTACAGATTGGATGTCAGAAACTACTGCCCCTTATGATGACTTAGTATTTTTTGTATAACTACAAAATGTACAGTATGGCCTTAATTCCTGTAAATCCCTGTAAATGGATTACCAACCGTCATAATATTATGATCATAAAACAAAGGGTTAACACAACAACTTCCTTTTATAAATGGCCAATAACTGATTAAAAAGAAACACTAGAAAGTGCTGTATAATAACCTCAAATAATGCCATAAATTACTACTTACGAACCTTTTATTATAAGAAGTGGCACTTAGATTTAAGTCTACATTTTTCTCACAAACTTTTGTGTTTTGCGATATTTTGCTTCAGACTCGTGAAGGGTATTACGCCTAATCCGCATGTGTCAAGAAGAAGTCCTAATAACACTACTTAAATCAAGCCTGTGTCACTGCGTGTATGCCCTTAATATTCATTCCACCTTGATGTGTGTGTGCACACACTCACGTGCCCAGCGGATGGGAGTGCTTATGTGCAGCTCATGTGTTAATGCTGTCATTTCCACGGATCAGTCACAGCAGCCTTTTCTCTGTTGTTTATGGTTATGTCACCACAATTACAAGAGAGAAGGGGGGCAGAAATAAAGTGTCTGTGAAAGATTGATAGCTTTGGTCTTTAGTTCAATTGTAAATTAGAATAGCAAGTCCCTCTGGGATACAAGGGCTCTATTTATGATTAAGAAAGAGCCTCCATAATAGAGTGGTGGTAGGAAAGTTTGCTCCCTCTCACAAACAGGCAATTAGCTTGATGAAATGTGCCTTACTTTTTTTTGCAGCGGTTGTGTGAACCCATATTATGATGTGCTCCCTTATAGTTTATGATATTATTTTCACCTTGAGCTGCAAACAATATGCTGTTTGAAGAAACTGTAGCTTTTATTTCATGTATTACATTTCCCGACAACTTTTTATCACTATAGTTTTATTTGGGCACGGGCAAGTTCAGAAGTAGAGAGGAGGTTTTATATCCTGTGATAAAGGAGGCAAATATCACACCATTGCTAGTTTTTAGTCTGGCTCATAAATAACACGTGCACTGGCTTAGAACATGTGTTTTATCAATGCTTATTGATTTCGATTCATCTATGCAATCATTCCATATGTTGTATTATAACCTGCTGCTAGTAATGATTCCCCATGTCCCCATACTGAGTATACTCATTTTCTTGTTCACAACCTTTTTTTATAGATTTTCTTTAAATCTATTTATATAGTTGTTCATTACCTTTTATGTTCCCATAGTCACAGGGTCAATAAGCTTTACTTCTGTTTAATTCATAGAGAAAAATATGGATCAAAAAATTAACCAGTAGGTATTTTTAGTTTATACTCTAAAGCAGTCTAATGATCTGAAAAGTTATAAATCCTCCTCTGAAATAAGCTGTGTAAAAGATTACTATCATACTTAATGATTTTATGGCTGAAGGATTATCACACTCCAGATTATTGAAGCAATATAATATCTCTGGTTGTATTGGAGTGAATAAGCAAGTCAGTTTGTGAGCCAATGGGTGGGTGTAACTACTGTACATACAGCATGTGCCAAAGTGCACGTCAGGAATATTACACGCAGAGTTGTTTGTGTTGATTCGTAAATTAATACAAACTACACTCACACACGTGTCCTAGTATGTATGAGTTAGGATTATTGAATTGATGTCGTAGTTAAAAAGATATTTAGTTCAAACTGAAGAATTGTATGTTTACAGTTTACCATGAAATTACCTGTTGTCCTTGTCACAGTATCAACACAACTACCACCAAAAAAATATACAAACCATTACAGTGACTATTCATGACGTTTTTAATGAGGTAAACCCTGAAAGAATATTCTTATTATTCTAATTTAAACACCAAAGACGGCACTTTGAGATGAGGCGAGGCGTAGGAGTGAGAGGAATTTTAAAGCTTTGAGAGGACTGAACTGTGGACCTACCTCCTCAGTACCAGCACACCACTGCCCCAAGCCTTTCTTTACTAAAAATAATAATTTAATGGGCCCCGACTGAAGATCTGTGTTGTTTTTTTTTCCCTTCTGATATTCCTTCTTTGCAAGCCAGATGAGGCTTCTCAACTTCAGACAGCACAAGCGATGTGTGGCCACCCTCTTTTTGACAATTTCTGCCCGAGGGCACATGCTCCTGTGCCAGCTGTTGTCATGGAAATTACACCAGTTTATAACATTTGTTTTTCAGTACAAAGACAGTGGTGATGTACTATTATCTCTTATCTTGCTAGTGTTAACACTTGGCTAATAAGTTCATTTTTGTTCTTTGCATGCTTTGATGCCCTACAGTTTATTCCGAAGGCTCTGGCTTTTCTTACCCAGACAGACTCTGCCACCGCTGCTGTTAACAGCTCCGTTACGCCTGGTGATTGATCCACAAAAGTGACACACCAAGTTTATTCATCCACAAGTGTTTGCTGTGAGTTCATATTTTTAATTATATTGGATGTCAACACTCCGTCTTCTACGTTTGACTGTCTTTTTTTTTGTTTTCTTTTTTGCAGAACCTGTTCTGATTCTGATCATATAGACATGAAGACCTCTCCTCTGGGATGACAACATATCAGGTAATGAATATATTAATTTGTCCTCACTTACAAGGATTACATATTAAAATACTGACAATTGTTTATAGTCTGGTATAATAACTGTTAAGTGCATTGAGTGTATTGTAAAAAATGTACTATAGTGTTTAAGAACTGTAGATGCATAATGAAATGGTGTGTCTAGAAAGGTGAAGGCACATGTTTCAAGTCAGTAATGTCTATAATAAATTCAGAAAAAAGACAGAAAATATTACACTCACACAGACAAAAGTTGTTAATAAGTTTATAATAACTTCCTCACTCACCATGGTTAATGGCAAATAACTCCTAAACTGGAACCTTATAAACAAATACTGTTTACTGAACACATTAAGTCATGGCTCTGTCTAACCTCTGGGCGCTATCACATGTCCACAAATCCCCTCTCAGTTTATTGTCAGTGGAGCAGGTCTAACATTTGACTGTGATGACATCATCCTGGGAGTATTGGCTCTCATGGTGTGAGCCCTAGAAGCAGCTCCTGCATGTCCTCATATGACGATAAAGTAACCAAGATCCTGTAAATAAGTGATTCCTGTTATTTTAATGGCTTTTCCCCTTGAGGTCATCCTCCCTCCAAGAACATCTTTTTCATTCGCAGTCATCGCTGTTGTCAAGGTCTTCTCCTTTTATTCCCTCCATCAGTTCTTAAGGACCATTGATCACATGTGGATTTGTGTAAGTGAAAAACTTAAAATGGCAGTATTTGTTATTATACAATATGTTCCATTCACAAATGTTAAATACCTGTGGAAGTAAAGATGTAGTTAAGATTGTCAATATTCACAGGCTGCTGAGTTTGTTCATAGTTATACAATTCATCTCAGCAGCACTACGTTGAAACATTTCAGCTTGATTAATTTCTCAGCCTGCAGTCTTTAGGCCTGTAACTAGCAGAAGTGCCTCATATAATATGTTTCTGCTGTAAAGTTTAATAATCATAACTATGTTTCAATTTCAGGAGAAAACTCTACTCCTCACAAATGTTCAGATCGTGAACATTTGCCTAGCAGAGAGAAAACACGGCACATTTGCACATTCTTGTATTCATTTAACTGCAGTACACAAATGATTTTGCTCTATAAGTGAAGTTAAACGCAGACTCTAAATAGAAAATAATTTCACAAATAGTCAGATGTAATTCAGCATGTCACAAATACAGTTATAACAATAGTTCCAGTTAGGAAAGAAAGCTTTATTTACACACTTACATTAATCTGTCATGGTAAAACTGGAAACATTCATTCTGGAAATGTAAGTGCACAACATTAAAGACAAACACAGCTCATATGGTGTCATAAAACTTTATTGGTTATAGATGTGGCTGGTGTGACACTGCAAATTGCAATTATACACCACATAAGACACACGGCTATGGTTTGAAGTTTACCAACACGCATTTATGTGTTGATCCAGCGTAGTTTGACGGGTTATCTCCTACAAACCACGTAATTGTTTAGTGTAAATTAACACCTAAAAGAAAAACTGGAGATGCAACGTTAACAGGACAGTAGCAGTTTGATATAATTGATTAATCTAATAATGAGACTTTTTTGATCACTATGGCTGCCTTTTTAATTAATTATTGGTAATAGGTGAAATTTCAGAACATTAAGCATACAATTCAACACTTTATAGCCGAATTAGAAACCTGAAGCTGAAGTACGCCTCCTCTACATCCGCTTGTGTAATTCTTACATATCCCTCCCTGCTACCACATTACACCTTGAGTTACAGTAATTCAATACACTGTCTGCTGCCTTTGGGGCCACATGTGAACCGTGTCTGGCTCAGGACTGAATGCTGCCACAGCTTTCTCTCTTAGGTCCTCTCCAAAACTTTTTTCACTGTCTGAGTACATGGAAAAAAAAAAGAGTGAGGTGAGTGGACTGCCCACTCTCCCTCTTTTAAAAAGAAGAGGGAGGGTAGGTCACACTCGAAGAGACACATCTTACAAGTGCCCGGGAACAACCGCGGTGTTGTGCTGCCGGTCGCTGTGTGGCTCCACTGGGACAGATGGGCCTTAAGCTGCTTTGCCGAAGGGTACTTCAGCAGTGGTTCCTACGGGTTAGAGAGCACTTATCACACAATTCCCCTACCTAGACTTTCCCAGCTAGTCCTTAGAGTTAAACCATTGACCTTCTGGTCATCTGCCTCAAGTAATCACCACGTATGCTCCATCAATGCAGTCTTTAGCAGCCAAAACAACACATCATTTCTCATTTCTCATATCATCTCTCCATTCCACAGTTTTGATCACTTAAACAGCCGGGACTCACACAACCAGCATTTACAAATACATTAAGAGCATGCTGGCAGTCAGCCTAAAGAGTGATCATTGAGACAAATTGATCCCTATCTGTTTAAATTGGCACTATAATCTATCATTGGCAAATTGAACAGTGAGTTATCTGGGATCTATTGCCTTTTAAGATAGCAGCCCTTAGGGCATGCAGACAGAGTGAAAGTGATCTACGCCACTGAATGAACTCTTTATGTCTCTGCTAAGACATGTATGTATGTCTGCTAACACTGAAGCATAAAAAGGTGAATGTTATACATGTTATTATTTCTCACACTGTATGCCTCTATAGCTTACATGTGTGCATACAATCAAATGCTCATACACACACGCACCATGTTTACAATAAGTGGTTGTTAATTGGTATAATGAATGCAATTTTCTGTAATAACATATTATTAAAATGCCAAAAAGAGAGAAACACAATTTAAAGTCATACTTTTTTCCATTAAAGTCCGTAAAAGCCGTGCTTTAGTGTAACCTATTCAACCACAAAGAAAAAAAGGCAAATCAAAAGAAACTACGTTCTATAAGAGTATGCACACGGGATAATTTATTGAGTTAAAACCTGTATCGCAAAAAAATATCTAAGCAATAACACTTTAATTACATTTGTTAAAATGTTAAACTATCCTTATATGAGGAGAATTTGCTCATGTTACGTTAAGCTTATATTTATTCTATGATTATTGTGATATATGAGTCTGATGTAACTTTTTGAAACTGTCTGTCAGAAAATATTCTTTGCCTAAATAAAGCCACATGTACAAGCACACATTTGACTAATTGGTCCTTTTTTTCCATCTTTGCATTCAAGCAACATTACTACAGCAATGCTATAAACAGAGTATGGGTAAGCCTTTACCAGAGCATGCCTATATAATGCAATACAGCAGATAAAACTGCTGTGACTTTGGGGCACAACCACCATCAATCAAGTGATCTTTATCAAGCAGGAAAAAACTATTTGAGGCTGTTTAAGAGCGTTTTGAATATTAAAATATTGCTTTTTAATTGTATACACAAAAGCTCAAACCTGTTGCCTCGAACAGTTAATGAACCTGTGTGTTATCTGAAATTAATTATTCTATATTTTTGATATTTTATGATAAGTTGAATCTCAACCAATTGTCAAAAACATGTTATATTCCTGGTGTTATTTTTTAAATTGGACGATTTAATTTGTTCTGATTCCACAGTGGTCTAATTCAATGAGACTCTTGAAGTTGATTAGCCTGGTTAACATTTGCTCCTGCGCGGATCTGCAGGGGTTAATCAGGCCGGGAACTTGGAGACCCCTGGGTCAGCCCCCCCCCCCTATCTGCATGAAGCACTGGGTGAAGGCGCAGATGAGATTAAAGTGCACTTTCATCACAATTTTTGACTTTTTACACAAGTGTGAGACGGTTTCTCGGCGTCAGCATGACTTCGCTTTTTAGATTAGTTAGGCTATATCTTAAAAGAAAAAATCTGATTTATATGCGATCATTTTTAACCCAATTCACGCTGGTAGTCATTTGGTTTTAATCTACAATCTGTTGCATTTACACTGTTTTGACTAAAGTGCGCGTTGGCATATACAAATAATGACCAGTCCCAGTGCACGTGTCAGTTTAACTTGATACATGAGTGAAAGCGTTTTCTTTACACGGCCGTAAATCTCAACTATTATCTACTCACTATCGATTAATTTAGCTGCACTTATCTCAATCAGCACATCTCCACTCCTGTGTTCCAGAGCGTGTGCTTTGTTTTACTAACAATAATAAAGTGATGTAGTCCTTACTCCCAGCCCGAGCATGGGAAATCGTTAAAGATCCAGCTATTTGTGTGTGATCAGTAAATATTTAGTGCAGGCGACATCCTCTGTCTTGTCTTAATCGATACTGGTCCCGTTGGGCAGTGCTATTGTTGTGTCCAAGCTCGCTGAGCATATAGTGCTTTTATCCTCTGACTGAAGGCAGAACAACTGCTAATCACACAGAGGAAACTTTTAAACCCGGGAAATAAAAACTGCAGCACAAGACTTTTAGAGGGTTTAATATCAAATCAATTGTGTAAGTGTGAAACTGTTTATGCATGGAAAAGGTGTTCAATTTTCGACCCTGTATAGATTCACGAGAGGTTAATTGAGGCTATTATCATTTCATTATATAGGCTTTCTTATTCTCTGCATAATGTATAATTGTAAGAGATGTAGCTCTAAGAAAGAAATAGTGATATTGTTTATGTAGTTGCTTCTTAATTTTATATAATGAATACATTGTCATTTTAAATTATAATGATTAATTTGAATTAGAGCTAATTAATAATAATGATAATATAATAACACAATAGTCATTGCTGTTTTGCTGTATTTAAGGACACTGGATGTTTATTTTTGCAATAAAATGAAATATGTTGGCAGGTTTTAATTACAGCTCTAATCACAGGTCTTATTGCATCTTCTAATCTCCTTATAATTTCTAATAAGCAGAATCTCACAATGCATGCTCGCACACTTAAAGACAGGTGTCTGTTCTGACTTCCCC